CTCTCTGTCTCTACATGATGGCATTTTCACTAGTGAAGTAGGATTTGCAAAAAGAAAAGTCCAAGTGTTTACCATCTTGCTCTTCCCTCTGATGACTGCCAAGCGAGTGACGGTGCTGACATAGTATGGTATGGGAGGTTGGCACTGCTTTACTATGGATTTGAGACAGTCCCACCAATCCTCGTTTAGCGATACATGGTTGCCGTAGAAGATGCGATCCTTGAAAGTTCCTTTTCTCACAAGGTATCCCGGACCTGTATAAAAAAAACTAAGATGACAAAGTAGTAAATAATTTCATACGTAAGATCTAGAACATCAGCACTGGGTTGATGATCAATGCCTACTCCAATGATCAAGAAATGAAGGACATAGATAACCCAATCACATCCACCCAGCAATATCTCGTAGAAACATGGGTAAATTGAATATTTGATTTATTTAAACTAACAACTAAACACTCCTCTATGTAAGCTCTAGTTCAGTCAATGTTGATTTGGAAGGTCACCTAGAACCCAAACAGAGTAATGTGTGGTAATCAAGTGTCACTCAAACATCAACTTTCGATATTTCACGGTTCATTTAATATCTGACCAGCCATATAGAACTTTACCCCGTAGTGCCAAGATAGGATCGTGGTCCACATCTCCATCTCCATCAGAACTATCATCAGTGTCATAGTCGCTAGATGTGTCATCATCAGCGCTATAGCCGTCACTCCCACGTGAAGTGCCATCTGAAGCATCATCTGAGGTGGTCCGGTGATCACCCTCTTCACTGCTGATGAGGATGGTTTCCCTTGCCATTCAAACCTGTTGCATGCATTGCAATGAACAAATGTTAGTTATTGATATATGAAATCAGTCTTCCATTAGGACTTGTTAGCACCATATATAATGTGAATAATCTTTTCGCATACTTCTCGCTAAGTACGTAGTTCATGTATAAACATCTACACGAAAAAGCTAGTCGAAAACTATTCGCACGACTAGTCAAGACTAGTGGTTAGACTCATAATCATTGGGCATACGTAACCAATTAGGATATTTCAAGGTTACAATTTTGTGAGCTGGACAAGAAAACTTGGTAACCAACCAATTAGTAGCCATGTAAAAATGAACCATGATTGACTACTCTCACCGAGAAATACGTGAAACTATAACTGATCTGCCTTTGATCACTGCAAATTTCCTAATGGGCTGTTGTGTGGTACCATCAGGTAATAAATATAAAGTCTTTAAATTGTCCCAAGAAAACAAGTAATGCATTTGCTGCTGTACATAACATTTTTAGAGGTAGCTGTGGAGGTTAGTTTTCCAATTTCCAGTGAGAATAAGGACATGATAGAATCTCTCAAGCAAGATGACATCATAGTGAAGGCTATGAGAACGAGCAAGGTATGCTGACCAATAGTCACCCTTTTGTATACTTGCTATTTATTTACTCATTACTACCCATACCAACAAGTAAAATCATGATTATGAAGTATAATGGCAGAAAATCCAACAGTGAGGAATTTGTTGCAATGTGAACTACTAGCTCACAACAAATTTTCATTGAACCCAACAAGCCCATACCATATCTTGGAGATAGGCTGACATAATTCAAGTAAGCAGTAACAACAATCAGCAAAAATATGCACCAACCAAAAATATTACATGTGTGCACATATCATCAAAAACATGCACCAATCAAGAGCAGTCTATACTTGACAAATCCTTCAAAATATGCACTAATCATCATACTACCATCGATTAATACATGAAACTATAACTGATCCTCATTCCATCATTACAAATTTCCTCATGGACTGCTTATGTGCTCGCCTTTTTAGTTTTTAATAACTAAGCATCAGCAAATACATATACACAGTCTTCAAACTATCCCAACAAACCAAAACATGTGTATGCTCCTGTGAATATACTTTTTCTATATCTAGCAGTGGGGGGTCATTTTTCCAGGGGAAAAAGTACTTGATAGCATCTTTCAAGCAAGATGATAGCATAGTGAAGGCTATGTCGACGAGCAAGGTATGCTGGCCAACACCCACCTTTTTCTCTTACTTGCACGAAATAGTTTACCCATTACTACCCATACGAATAAGTTAAAACCATGATTATGAAGTACATTGTCAGATTATCTTGCTGTAAGATTACTTGTTGCAATATGACCTACTAGTTGACAGTAAATCTGCGAATACCCGACACATGCACACAAGCAAGTGTCAGATTTTAACCTGGGCGGTGCTACTAGATTGCAAAATTAAGGTCAGATCGACATTCAAAGGGTAGGGAAGATCAATCTTACCCGCGAAGTGGTACCAGATGGGGCTGGAGTAGACTTGTTTTAAACTGGCACCACCGGAGCTTCGGGCGGCGCGACCAGGATTAGGGAGAAGAGGTGCCGTTGTTGGACCTTACTGTCGACGAAGCAGTGGATAATCGTGGCCGCAGCAGGGGGGAGTGGGTGGCCTCGCAGATCTGGCCAATTTGACAACGACGGGGGCGGCCAAGGTGACGGCTTGGCAAACCCTAGCCGCCGCCCTCCGCGTCGCCTCTCTATCTCTGCAAAGAACGAAGTGTGGTGGGATTGGGAATGGGGGTGGGGTTGGGGTTGGGGCCATCGCTCGCTTTTCTCTCTGCCTCCCACTCGTGCAGGCCCACAAAAGGAACAAAGTGTTGGGCCGGATCAGATGCAGATTTGGTAGCTTTACCAATTCTGGCCAAACAGATAAGATCAGCATGACCACAGGTGTTCTTTTGAAGAAACCCTAAAAATATACTACTGTTCATATTGCATGTGGATGGGTCTTTCTGTACACCAATTGATCTTGAATAATTTTAAGCACTCCACAGTATATATATATATATATATATATATATATATGAAAATAATGGTTAACCAATAAAATGGTAAACTATTAGATGCAAGGTTACAAATATTTGAAAAAAATCAATAATTGAGTTGTATGCATTTTTATGATTAAATTTAATAAATGTAACATTTCTGCAAAAGCTATGATAATTAAAATAATCATTGGTATTTAAAAAAACCCGCAAATGACTATTTATGCCAACAAGAACTTCTTCAGGGTTTCGTTTATTCATCTATTCTTTGGCATGCTAGTTCTCATAATGCCTTCTTCAGACCTTCTCTTTGTCCGACAAATTCCTGAGATATTGGGATAGCGCCTTGTGTTTCGCCCTCACACCATGCTTCATTTGGTATCCTTTGGCAACTCCTTCGGCGTGCTCAAGAATACTAACGAAAGCCGGGTCCAGATATTTGCCACAGAACACGCAATGATACGCCATATGATTAAGCACGTTGCACTGTCCATTCTGCAATTCTTCAAGGGTTTTCTGAGTGTGTGCATCCATCTCTCCTTCGGAAATGTCCGCATAATCATGAGAAGAAGGCTGCAAGTTTAAATTATGTATGATATAAGCTGCACCATTGTTTACAGTACCTAATATTCCCTAAGTTTCATACTGTAGTTCCTATAAATTATTTTTAAAGTAAATATTTATTAACTTTGAAAATTTAAGGAGAAAAAAGCAATATCAAATCTATATGAAAGCATAAATCATATGATGTACTTGAATTTTTTTTGTCAATAAACATGCACAACCTTTATGATGTCTCACTTTTAGCATAAAACCAAAACACACTAAATTGTGGAGTGGATGAACCATTAATTTCTCAAAGATTGATTGAATAAATAATGATCATTACGTACTGATGATCAACATTATATTTAGAGCTAGATTCCATTATGCCAGTTCAACAATGTATTGATGGTTTAATGATTAACCTCTAACCTTAAACTAGAAGACAGATCTAGGGTTAAAAAATTAAAATTACCGTAATGGAATTCCAGTCCATGCCGTGCATGTGCTGCTGCTTGTGAACGACGATGGAGTACTGCACCTCGTTGACACGATGCTTCTCTGGGTCGGACACCGAGTAGTCCAAAGCTTTCTCGTGGGGATCCTGATCCATGCGATGGACGGCGAAGTCGATGGTTAGCCCCGCAAGTCTACGATCTGTCACGATGGCGTCCATGACAGGCCCCTCACGTCCATGGCCACGATCTGTCACGACGGCCAATCGACCTCCACGAGTGGATTTCATATCCGGCGGCAGGGAGACGGGCGTGTGAGCGGAGGCGATGGTTTTAGAGCATACCCTAGGGGGAGAGATGCGGGGAGTAATTGGTAGTTACCTACTATAGCGGAAATACGTATGAGAAAAATTGATTGGTCAGCGTTGGGCACCTTCAATGCAGCGGCGCTTATTTAGGTGCTTAATTAGGATCTTGGAAAAAAATCACAAGTGTAGGCGCTTGGGGCAGGAGCTAGGAACTGATTTTTGTACATCTACGTGATGCAATCCAAAGATCATGTCCGGGGTGGATGGGTTGGGGATTGAAAATTGTGTACATAAACCCTAATGCTCAAGACTTGTGAAAACATCAGATCAAATTGTCATCAAGTGATCTAGTATTATTTGGATCGAGACTCTGTGATCATCATGTAGCCACGCCACAAACACGATGGTTCTAGTATTACTTGGATCAACACCTTAGGCAGCAAACTAGTGCATTTCCTTTTTGAGTCACCATCTTCCTTCTTGAAAACCACATGTACACACTCATCATGTATACCATAACACATCAAAATCTGTTAATGAGCGCTCACAAGCTTAATTAGCTTCAAACGATCCTAGCCAATCAGGGTTTTATGCTACTTAATCTGAATGAGCCGATGATTAATGAGCACGAGTTTAACAAGCTGACATGCCAAACCACACACCAATTAACATAGTTCTACCATAGTTCAACGCTTCCATATATATAAAAGCAAGCACCACTTAGTAGTACTGGTGCACATAGTTCGACCATAAACGTTCACTAACAAAGTATAGCATAGGGTAGTACTTAGCATAGTTAAAACCAAAAGAGCATTAGTTCTAGCTGCGAGGGTGTGCACTTCCCTAAAGCCTCAAAGAAGCCTCATCAAGTAGTCGGCATATGCGGCGTGCTTCACCCTGAAAGGGTAGCCATTCTTGGTGCTGCCTTGGGATGTTCTGACTGCATGGTTGATGGTACTCGACAGGTCGCCTTTCATCACCTTGTTGTAGTAAGGGCATCCGTAGCCCTTTCCGAGTCTAGGCCTCACAACTTTCTCGAGCTCACCACTGTCCAGTTTCCTCACCTTCTGCCTCCTAAAGATCCTCTGGGTTTCTGGGTCACTGTCAACGTCGTCACTTAGGACCTACATGTAGTACAAAATGTTGCGTAAGTATATTTAATATGGTAATTCAGTAGGCACATAGTCTATGAAACATAATGTAATTGATGACAGTGTAAAATATCTTCAAATGATGTTGAAAAAATAAATGCATAACTTATTAGTTGCTACATAAGCAACTAAGGATCGTACCATATAGTAAAAAAATGAAGGATCAACCATACATGTCGAAGAGAGCACTAGCATTGCAACATTTTGCCACACATTTTCCCCAAGCTTGCCTAAGGTTAGTTCATCAAAATGAGAGCCACAAGTTGGCAAGCCTAAGGGAACCTTGCCACACTTTTTGTGTGTATGCCATGTGGGACCCAAGTGTGGCTTGCCTAAGGTGTGGCTGGATCCAAACACTCACTTAAGTTTGTCAAACTTGCCTAACCTTAGGTATGGCAATCTTTGGCAAAGTTAGTCACAAACCAAACAACCCTTTAGCACAACAAAATTCAGTTGTTACGTAAAAATGCATGAACTGATGATGTAACATGGTAGAGCAGCATACAGATGTACTAATGCAAAAAAGACTTATAACTTACATGCATGACTAGCTAAAATAGCTCGTGAGCTGTATCTATTTAGGGTTAGAATTTTGTGTTCTTATGATGATGGATATTGAAAGTCCCCATGTTATCGTCGTGGAAGTTTCCCCTGTTGATCGATACCTCACCCATTAATGTTCCTGAACCATTCAATGTTATAGGTAAAGTAGTTAGTTATTATGAATTCTGACAATAAGTGATCCCAAATGTTGTACTTACAAAAAAAGGTTTTTATCATTTATGCCACCAGTTGTGTCCCACAACTAAGTATCACCACTAGGAATTTCTATTGCTAAAAAAGCCATCGCTTCGTTAGACACATGCTCAAGAATGCCACTGCACATCATTATTGTGATATCAAATCTATCTTGACATGCCATAATGGCATCAATACCTATGGACCAACATGCCAGCTCTACCTCTATCTCACTACAATAAAGTGTGGGCCCACTTGATCCCAACAACGTTCTTATTTTCCTCTAAAATTATCCGCTTACTTACTCCTCGCAAGTGGGGCCACACTTATCATTGTGAGATAGAGAGAACTGAAATGTGGGCCTGGGCTTTTTTTGTCATATTGGATGGTCAACAAGTTTTACATGAAAATAAGAATGTCTAATGGCATTATTGAGCAAACATCTAACAGAACGATGGCATTTTTGATACATCTAATGGCATTTTTGAGTAAGCATCTCATGAACCGATGTCATTTTTGAGCGGCTGCAACTTCTAAGGGAAAAACTGAGTAGTGGGATACAACAGGTGGCATAAATGATAAAAACCCTACAAAAGAACTAATTAAAACAACTCAAGTAAAACATTGATGATATCCAATTTATTTCTAAAATAGCCATTGCTTAGAGATAATCAATGTTTAAAATCATTGCCATAGCCACTTATGGAACATTTAAACCAAAGATCGATCAAGTGGAACCAAACATGTACTCAACATTTTAATACCTTATTTGCCTTGTACTGACCAGGGAAAACCTAGGATACTACAAAATAAATAAATAAATAAATAAATAAATAAATAAAGGGGATAGATGACTAACCTCTTCTTCGTTCTCGTCGGCGACAACCATAGCTGGGGGCTGGGGAGGCAACAATCGCGGCAGACGAACACCCGGCTGAGGCTGAGGAGCCACCACCTGCTCCGGCAGAGAAGCCAGAGGAGCTACCTGTTCCGGATTATTAGCAGAATAATTTATATAGGTCAAAAACTGACATATACATGCCTCAATAAATGTAATCTAGCTACACAGCTGCGAATCCAGGATTTCATACTTGGGTGTTCAAAAATTTATATTGCAAACTAAAACCACAACAATATTTTTCAAATGGAGGGAGTAATATCTAAAATTTTCATGTGAAAAGATTCTTTGTCCATCGTAATGACAATACTGACATGAATGACAGAAAATGAAGATTATTTACTTCATGACCATAGAATATGACATTTTCATAAACAAGGCATTGTGTTCTTATCCTTAAGTTGCAGAAAATATTTTCACAATCACCTACGTAGGCAATTCAATTCCAAGGTCAAGCTACGTATTTGTATTAACATATTTGTATTAGCACAGTCACCAAACCTAGGTGGATTTATTAGCAGAATAATTTATCTAGGTCAAAATATTGCCTATACAGGGCTCAACACATGTAACCTAGCTAGTTACCTAACACATCTATAAAATATTGATATGGAGTCCATTGATCAAAGATAAAAAGAAACACTGACCTTCCCCAAAAATAGACAAAAGGAATGACCAGAGCACACCTAGGATTTTACAAAAAATTAAAGGAGATAGATGACTAACATCTTCTTTGTTGACATCGCCGACGACCACAGGCTCGGGCACAGAAGGCATCACCCGCGGCAGAGGAGACACCTGCTTTGTCTGAGGAGCCAAAGCAGCTACCTGGTCCCACATAAATAGCAGAATATTTTATATAGATCAAAAAATGTCATATACATGCCTAAACTAATGCAACCTAGCAACACAGGTTCGGATCCAGGATTTCAAAGATGGGTGTTCAAAAATTTATATTGCAAACCAAAAGCACAACAATATTTTGCAAATGGCTGAGATCAAGTTGGCTTTTGAGTCCAGAAGGCATTCTTCTGCCTCTGCTTCTGTTACTCAAGAAATTAAAGAGTTAGGAGTAATATCTAAAATGTTCATGTGAAAATATTATTTTTCCATGATACTGACAGTACAGACATGAATGACAGAAAATGAAGATTATTTAGTATGACATTTTTGTAAACAAGGCATGGTGTTGTTATCCTTTACTTGCAGAAAATATTATGCTAAAATAAGCCACCAAATAATATATTTCAAGTAGGGATGATAACAAATCTAAAATATTACAGCCTATGGTAATTGGACTCCAGGAATCAAGCAATTGGTGTTGAGCAAATTGAATGACAAAAAATGTGTCTGCTGGATTAAGCGCGAGAGGCTAGTTTTATACAAATTTACATGAAGTTTAGTTCACAAACTACACCACTTTTAGTCCATTTAGCAATAAAAGAACCATATATAAGAAATTCTGGGAAAATTTTTTTGGGTGGTTGGTAGATCTATCTTAAAATTTGGCATCAACACATTTTGGATGCACGAGAGCCATGGATCGGAGTGGTTGGTAGATCTTAAAAACAAGATAACCTATACAATGAGGAGCTGATCCCCACACCCATGAACCCATGTGGATCCGCCCTTGAAACCTACCGGATCTAACGAATCTACGTACGGATTTCATAGATGGAAGAAAAGCAGAAACCCTAGCCATGCCCAAAAATAGATAAGGGACCGAACAAGGAAACCTAGGATATTTCCTAAAATAGGACTGGCCTCTTCTTCATCATCGTCGCCATCAATGTTGACCACGGGCTGCGGCAGAGGAGGCAGATGGCGTGGCAGAGGAGTCACCTGCTCCCGTGGAGGAGTCACCTGCTCCGGCGTAGGTGACACCTGCACCGGAGCCTGGACGTGGTCGACGACGTCAAGGCCGCCCTGCTGCCGGCTGGACCCCTTGCCGGAGGGGAGGAGTTTCTCATTGTGCAGCTTCGCCCGACGCTTGGATGCTTCATGCGCCATGGCGTCAGCCCCAGCGTTAGCCCTCCCTCCCATGGTGCGCTTGGGCATCTCGACAGCGGAGGTGCAGTGGCGGGAAGGGAGTAGCAGTGGGAAGGGAGCAGCGGCGGGATGGGCAGGCAAGTGGTGAGGCGTGGGAGGAGAAAACCCTAGTATTTGTGGATGGAGAAGAGGACGGGAAGAGGGGGGCGACGATGAGATAAATGCTAATGGGGAAGCGGAGCCGCCGATTTAGTCCTGGGCAGTCAAAAGGAGTTGTTGCCACGTTCACACCTCCCCGTGCGTTGTTCACACCACCACGTCTTGGCACGTCAAAACGTAACTTCTCACTTCTCACTAAAATGAATAGCACGATCATGCACAGCCATGATTTATGAGTAATGCAACTTCCCTTCAAAAAATCGTGTAATGCAACTGCTCCCTCATTACACAGAACAAAGTCATACAGTGGGACAACTGAATTTGTAGGATTGTTTCATCTGCACGTGTCATGTTTTATATTTGTCCTAAAATATGTTGTAAAACTTTAGAAACAATGGAATGGCAAATGGATGTGACAAAACTTCGTCCGCAACCACGCGGATCCGTTTGCCATATATTCGATGTCCGGTACCGAGGAGGGGAATGTTGATCCACGCGATGCCATGTGTTTCGTCTGGACCCATACACTACAAAAAAAAGACACATCCGTGACATTTTGGGCCGAACGAATTTTTTTTCTGTCATACATATGACACTTCTATGATGATAATTGTGACAAAACCCGGTATCATCATATATGTGGTGGGCTCCTACTTCTATGACAAAAAATCATGACAGAAAATGGGCTTTTCGTCCTGGGCGGGCCGGAGACGCAGCTGCATGACATTCTTTGGGCCGTCCATGACGGAAAAAACCGTGGTAGAAGCGAGGGGGAGGAAAATTTTGGGGAGTTCCCGGTTACGGTGGGAGGTCGGGGGCCGAGCGATGCGCGTTTCTCTCGTACATGTACGCGCGTGTGTGCGAGGCGTTGGCTCTAACTGAACCCGAGTGAGGCGTTGGGCTCTAACTGAACCTGAGCGATTGCACTGCAGGCTACGCGTTACTGAACCCGAGCGTCCGATCGATGGCTGTTAACTGAACCCGATCGAGCGATTCCTTCGCTACTGCTGCTAACTGAAGCCGATCG